TTAAACTTCTTTTTTTCCCCATCTCTCCTGGAGAAAAGCAGCAGAATCAAAATGTGGCTTATGCCCTGCTGCCCAGAACTGATGAATTACAGGAGTAGCAGTGACCAGTGTTACCCCATCTCTGGATGGCAGTTTAGGACAGGAGCTGATACAAATAGGGATTTGGTTTTTTTTCATACTTAGGGAAATATCTTTCTGTATTACCTTTGCTCAGTTTTGCCAGTGATCAAARCATGTTGCCAGGGGAGTGGTTTAGAAATCTGTGGAGTATTTTTCTTCAGTCCTATTTAAAATGGCACAACTGGTCTTAATCATTCAACTGAAGAGCACTCCCAACTCCATCTTTTTAAAAATTTTTCTGTTGCAGAAGGATTTAGGAAAGAGTGTGGAGTATGTGTTACTGTCAGCCGTTTCGAAGATAGGATACTGTAAAATTAGAAATATTTGACAATCRGGAATATGGTAATAAGTGAAAATTCACATACTATTAAAATACAGTATGTGAGTCTTAACATGTCCTCTCTAACTCCCTTTTACTTGAGTTGTCTGATATTTTGTTATTCTTGCTGAGRTACCTTTGGGACATTTGTCTCCAACATTCCGTTGGAGATGTTAGATTCTGCTCTAAATTCAGAATTCTAGTTAAGCAGGTGGAGTATTTCACTACTCTTTCCACAAATGTTTCGTAGAGTGGGAGTAAATTATTCTTTTGCTGCCTTTTACTGTGACTCTGTAAGGAATTGCTGGTGCTGCTTAGTAAATGCAGCCCTTCGGGTGACATGCCCTGGGATACAYTGGAACAAAGAACCTGAGCAATAAATACCATTGACACGAATTTATTGTTATTGTGTGAAWGTCACTGAGATAATGTTTTTCTTCCTAGTAATTATTTCTTAACTTAGTGAAGAAAATAATGTTTCTAAGTGCTAATAATATAAACTTTATAAGTACTTAAAAAAAAAGAAAAATATTCAATTTTTCTATTGTATAAACAATGGTTTATATGGCCTTCAATTTGGGTGGGCATAATGTTGGTCATTTTTTTTAATTTCACATCTGTTGGAGTAAATGGGGAGTGATTCTAGTCAGGTGAACAAAATGAGAGTTTGGAATTGATCTCAGCATGCTGCTCAGTGAGTGATRTCTCTTGTGTTTGTTCAGTGGAAAAATGCCAGAGGTGGATTATGCTGTCCTAAGTGAATGGTTTGACTGGATCCAGAAGAACATCGATGTTTCAGTTGATTTGATAGGTACCGTTTTGATGGGGCTGGAGGGGTATTTTTGTGGGTGGTTTCCTTTCTGGGAGAAAAAATCGTTCTTATTTCTTGGCTCATAAATAATCCCATTATTYAGTATAAAAGTGAACACAATCAGAYRGCTTGGSTTTGTGGATGGTTCATGGATTGATTGATTGATGGTAGTGCCAAAGGGGAGGTTCAGTGGTGGTACCCAAATCAGGATTCTTCCCTCCTGCAGTTTGTGAAGTGAGTTTCTTCTTAGCTTTTAAAGCAGATCCTTGCACATAACTATTAAAATTTCTGTTACTACAGTTTACTTGCAGACATCTCCTAAAGTTTGTTATGAGAGGCTAAAGACACGATGCAGGGAGGAAGAAAAAGTCATTCCCCTGGTAAGGAGTTCCTCTGATATATRTGGTTACAAGGAGCTTTGTAAACAGACTGATTCAAATCTAAATACTAAAATTATATCCTGAGTATATTGCCAGAATGTGGTGCAGYTGTTTCCACTGGAGACTAATCCCTGAGTATTGAATTTTGATTTATTTTTGAAAAATGATCTGTCATGCATGTAGACTCTCCCAAGTGTTCTGTTCTAGTTATCAGTCCACCATAGCTGACTTTGGGTGCAGTGTCAATCTTCTCTAAGACATAAAACTCAATTGCTTTTGTGCCATGAAATGGAGTAAAAGCACCCAGATGGAGCACAGATACCTGGGCATGCAGGTGCTAAGATCTACCTGGGCACTTTGCTGTCTGCTSTCACCAGGATCTTTGTGCATGAAAAGTGTCTGCTGTGGCTGAAAAGAAGCAACTCCTTGAAACTCTGAGCTTGGGAATCTGCTTTAAAATTAGGTGTGATAGTGGAACAAAGACTTCCTGTGCCAGTTTACAGAAAGGCTTCTAAAGACACCTGACCAGAAGATGCAGTTCCCTCTGCAGACACAGCATATCCTCTGCATCTCTGGTGGTGGAAGGCTCAGGAGGAGCAATTTTCAGTTGAAGATCTGTGCAAAGAGCCAAATTTTRGGCCATGTGGAATTTTCTTTGAGAATAAATCCTCCTGTAATGGATTTGAAGAGCCCTTRTGTTATTTTGCAGCTCTGCTGAAGAGAAGTGGAGCAGTTATGAATGAACAAAGTGAAGTGRTCTCCAGGAAGAAAAAAAGAGTTGATGACAGCAAAAGAGCTTTTAGAGGAAATTGAGTTACAWGAAAGTGAACTGGGAATTGTAGGGAAATATATTGACACAGAAAGTGCCTCCCATGCATCTTCTTTGCAGSCTTGTCCTTACTGCCCTTGTATTTTTCACTGTAAAATCTTCAATCACATTTTACCTGTGGGAGAGAATCRTGGTTGCTTGATCTTCAAAGGCACTGAGAGCTCTGTGCTCCTGTAAGYTGTGTCTTTGAGATCTTCATGGAGTTACTAAACTTTATACTGGGAATTAATTTTTCTCAAAAACCTTCTGATGCTTTTTATTTTTTCTTAGAGCAAAATATCTGAAGCAGGCTTTTATATGTGTCCCTTAACTGCTTCCCAAATGGATAAAGATTGCARTGTGTGTTGCATCCCTGGGCAAATGTGTTATTGCAGTGTCTCTTTTCTAGGAATATTTAGAAGCTATTCACGAGCTCTATGAAGAGTGGCTCATTAAACGAGCGCTGTTTGARATTTCCTGCCCAGTACTTGTGAGTATTATTTTAATTACAGCCAATTAGGCATGCAGGGGATTGTGCTTTCCAAATAATAAAAGCATTGTTTAGTGGTAAAAGTAAATAAATCTGCTTTTCTGRTAAGTTTTGGAGAAGGACAGCCTCAGAGAAATGTGGTGTTAGTGTGGGGTCTGCCATCTCCAGTGGAGTTGCAGGGGCTGTTCACTGGGATTGGTTGCAGGATCAGCCACGTAGCTTTTCAGGGAAGGCCAAATTCCCAACAGAAGGCAGCTTGGACACATCCCTAGGAATATCCCAGYTGGGCTTCACTGTTCTGTTTTGCTCAAAAGAAACCATGTTTTATGRTGTCAGTTATTTCCAATGTTCATGTTCTTCTTTCCAAGGTTATTGGAGCTGATCATGACATGCAGAAAATGATAGAGAAGTATGAAGAAAACCGGGACCAAATACTGAACCCACCTAACAGACAACACCATTTATAGGAGTCTATGATTGTTGTATAAAAAATAATCTATGAAGCTGCTTTGGTATTTTTAATATTTAAATATAATGGGTATTGTTTTTGCACTATGCTTTGTAGAATGTTGTGGACTTWCTGCTCTGGAATGATCACATACCAATCAGGAACAGAATATGAGCCAATTCCCTTTGTGTTTTTAGACTCACCATCAGCTTTAGTGTGTCAGTTCTCTTCAGCTAAAATATGGCTGTTTCTTTCATTTCCCACTTCACTGCTGCTTCCTAGAAGTAAGTTTAGTTTTTTTTTTTCCCCAAAGACAACCCTGTTTTTGTAATTTGAAATAAACTGTTTGTTACAATGCCCCTATGAGGGAGGGTAACTGAGGTTCCTCTTAATAAATAACCCCGTTGGGGTGAACTGGGGTGAAACCACTAAATGACCAGTGTGTGCACGAAGGAGGTTTATTTAACACAGCCAGCCCGTTCCTGGTGCCCAGCAGGTGCCCAGTAGCTCATCCTGAATGTGATCACATAGCACATACAACCAKGGGATCAGACCCAGCCAGCAWGGATTTAGGAAAGGCAGGTCCTGCCTGGCCCACCTGATCTCCTTCCATGACCAGGTGACCCTCCTGGTGCATGAGGGAAGGGCTCTGATGTGTCTCCCTGGAATTCAGAGGCTTTGACACCCTGTTCTRTGGCATCTCCTGGCAAAGCTGCAGCCCCCAGCTTGGACAGGGGCATTCCTGGCTGGCTAAGAACTGGCTGAGGGCTGGGTGGGGTGGTAGGGAGTGCTGCTGCTTTTGGTTCCCATAGGATCAGCACTGGGACCAGTCCTGTTAACATCTTTTCTGATGATCTGGAGGAGGGCACCAAGTCTACCATTCACAAACTGGGGGATGACACCCAGTGGAATGGGAGTGTGCATCTGCTGCAGGGTGGGCAGGCTCTGCAGAAGGACCTGSCCTGGATCCTGGGCCAAGATCACCACCTTAAGGTTCAACAGGGCCAAGTGCAGGGTCCTGCACAACAATCTCCTGCAGCTCCAGGCTGGGGCAGAGGCTGGAAACCTGGACATGGCACTCAGTCTCTGGGCTGRYCTTAGCTTAGCCTCRATGATCTCAGAGGTATTTTCCAACCTCAATGATTCTGTGATTTRAAAACGATTTAATTGCAGCAGAAAGGAGGGGTGCAGCTGTATACAAAAACAAAAATCCCACAAGGGAAGGCAAGGGCATGAGGAGATAGTGGAAAGATACAATAGAAAGATATCCTACTTGTGGATCCAGTGACAAGGCTGGATTGTTGGAATCTTGGTATGGTTGGAGCAGTGGTTGGAGTCTTGATCCCTTGGGGCGGGACCAACCAAATAAAAATTTCAGAGGGTTGCAGACATTCCATTTAGCATGGGAAGAGCTGGATCCTTCCCCAGGGAAAAGATGCTTTGTATCTGATGTAACACTGTGGGCCAAGCAGGGCTTTTGGATGGAGCCTTCAGGGGCACTCTGGGGGCCTGGGTGGTCTCATTCCCCCCCTGTGGTTCTTGCCCACCCCTGATCCCACTGCTGCACTGGTGCTGTGTGGGCACAATGGAGCTGAACAGTAAAGTGGCTCCAGGGAGTGCTGCCCTACCCTCTAGTCCTTTGTTCCCCTTTCCAGGCACATCCTGAGTGGCCATCAGCACCTGAGGCACAGCAGGGCATCAACTCCTTCCTGCCCGGGCTTTACACAGCTCCATACAAGAGGTGGGATGTTCATTGTTTTATTACTGGAGGACACAAACGAAGTGCATTGAGTTRCAGTAGCTGTTAAATAGGTCTTACCAGTTTGAAATGGTGGGTCTTGCTCTAATCTTATCAGTGCAATTTCACTGAAATCAGGAAGTTCCTTCTGCTGTATGGGACATCACTATATCTTAGTTCTGAAGGTAACTATGCACTGGTAGTTCCACTGAATTCAGTGCAAAAAAAAAGAAAAAAACTCATCAAAACATAGTTTTTGTAAGTGATTGCAGAATGGTCCTGAGTTTTTTTTTTTCCATCTAGGTTTTTATAGAGGGCTTATTTTGTGTTCATGAGATCCCCAGCCCTGCTGTGGTTGAGCTGAGCAATAGTGAAAATACAGGATGCATGGGACTGTGCTATTCTTCAAATGTTTATTAAAAAACTGTAGAATTAATTGATTTCTTAACTGTTTTACATTCTTTGATTTTGCTTCTTTTTATATTAAAAATTACAGATGGTTCTTTAGGTTTATACAGTGATCAGTTTATGATGACCTGCAGTTACCTGGAGAGTAGAGAAAACCAGTGGGGGTTTCATGCTTGGGGTCATTAGCTCAAGTGTTGAGTTGTCCTTCACTTGTGCTTTGCCCCCAGGATGTTGTCTCCAAGGAATCCCTTTAACGCAGCACTTGGAACTGTTTTCACATTACTTTTCCTGGGTAATTTTGGGGGAATGATCCCTGAAGTACACAACGTATTATTTCCCCTACTGGTTTTGGTTGGTTTAGCTGGAGCAAASAAGGCCTCATTAGCACTCATTACAGACATTTGTCTGGCACATCGCAGGACAGAAACATTCAGTTTTATGGCTTTTCAGCAACATCTGATGGTGCTACTTTTGGAGATCACCCCTTTTTGTAAAGTTATAGTTTGCCTAAAAACCATTGTACTGAAAGAACCACACCAAGTCAGGAATTGTAGCTCTAAAGCTGTATTGGGTAGGTTATTTGTTTTTTCTAAATCACTGCAACTTAATTAATAATGAGTGCACTGAGAGAGCATTTCCTAGTGAAGTACTAAGTTAGTACTAAAGCTTGTGATCCCAATAATGCCATTCTATTGCTCTGTTGTACATCTTTAGAATTCTAGCTTAAAAGTAAGATTTTGTGTGCTAATTACCTTACTTATTGCAGTTTATTTGTAGGAGGATAGTAGTTATCCTTGATACCTTCTGTTAAACTTTCTTCTATAGAGTCCAAAAGAACTATTTCTTTGGAAATTATTCTATATGTTTGAAGTTCAGTCATTTGCAGTTTGCTCTTAATTCTAATTTCACTATGGATATATATTATGCACAGTACAGAAAATGTCACAGGTTTAGTCAAGAGATCTTACAGCCCAAAGGATGTTTGTCAGGACACAGCCCTGTGAACACCTTTTGTTCCTAACACCCATTTCTCAGGACCTCATCCAGAGCTAAGGCAGTGCTGTCACCTGGTGTGGGCAAAGTTCTGTTCCTCCTACACTGCTGCAATCAGAGGATAGTTGACAGAATTTCAAGCATTAGTTATTCAAAAAGCAAATGTTTACATTTTAGTTTCTGAGGTTTTTCTAGTCTAATCCATATGTGCGCCTCTGAATTTTTTGGGGGTGAAAGTCAATAATAACTGATACTAAATCAATTTCACCTAATATTTTACCTATACATGAAACAAGGCATTTTTTAACATTCAAAACATAGCCCCATATTAGCTACTGGGAAGAAAATTAACTCTACCCCAGCCCAAACCAGCACATGTTTCAGTGCTACTGGAAAAGCTACCAGAAGCAGCATTAAAGTGTCTTTCTAGATAACAAGTTCATCACAGAATCCAGAATCTTTAGGGTTGGAAGGGACCTCTGAAGGCCACCCACTCCAAGCCTTGCCCAGGCAGGTGACACAGGAGTGTGTCCAGTTGGGTTTGGAATTTCCCAGAGAGGAAAACTCCAAAGCCTCCCTGGGCAGCTGTTCCAGGGCTCTGTCCTCTCCAGGGAAAGAAGTTCTTCCTCATGTTGAGGTGAAATTTCTTGTGTTTTAGTTTATGGCCATTGCTCCTTGTCCTGTTGCTGGGCACCATCCAAGAGTCTGGCACCATCCTCTGATACCCCTTGGTGATATTTGTATACAGAAGCACTGAAGACTGTGTTTAAGTACAGCAGCAGCATGCTTTTCTAATGAATTAAATGCTGTGTGTGRCACAGGCTCTCGATGCTGGGACTGCAGTTTGCAGCTGATCCAACACTCCTGAGCAGGATATCACACAGCACTCCTACCTGCAGGATATCCCTGATCCTGGCTCTGCTGCTCACTGGGATCCTTCTCTGAGCAGACTTTGTTTCTGCCACTAAAATAGCAAAAAATGAGACTTCTCCCTTTCATTTTACTGAGACAAACTGRCTTTGAAAAATTCTGTGCACTCCTGCTGCATAATTAAGTGTAAAGGAGCAGGGGCAAGGGAAATGGCAACAGTAGCTGGACCTCTCTCTTCTGGTGGCAGTGAACAGTTACCGTGCTCAAGGCTTCTCTTGAAATTTGTGGTGGTGGCCACAAAATACTTAGGTAACAAATGGAGGCAGATATAAAACCTGTAACACACTTTAATGCCTCTACGAAACCCGAGTGTTCACAGGGCTGTTTCCCTCTTTAAAGCTAAAGGAATGTTATTAAACTTTTTAAACCTGTTTTCAACAGAAGTCAGGAGGAAGATAAGCTCAGACAGAGCTTCAAAGGAATGCAGAGAGTTAACACGAGTACACTCCACCGCTCCAGTATGGCATTTGTAAAGCTATAAAGTTGGGTCCTCTGGTTTAGAATTTCCCTTTACTGGAAGAGTATTTCAGGAACAGGTCTGTGAAGGAAAAAAAAAGTAATATGCCCAACTGAAGAAACTGGTCTGGCATTAAGAACAGCCAGAAGGAATCTGACTGATGAATTACATGGATCTAGATTTATGGAGGTTGCCTACCCTTTAGAAAGGTGACCATTCAGGTTTCCTTGCCATAGGGGCCATTATCAATTTGTGTAACTCCTGTTTTTTACTGTCCCAAAGTAACAATGTGGCTTTGGGTTTTTTAAAAAACTGTTTTGATAAAGCTAATCACCTCCTTGAAAACAGGATCAAGGCCACAGGTAAATTACAAATAAAGCACTATAGACTCAAGTGTGATGGCACAACATTCCTGGGTCAGTTGTGTCAATGATGACATAAGGCTCCTGCGTGTCAGTCACTGGTGAGTTACAGTTCTCTCCTTCCATGCTGTCAGCAGAGTCACGTCCAGGCTGCACCAGGTTCCTCCTGCCCTGTGTGCTGGTCCTGCTCCCGTGTGAAGGCCGGACATCAATACTTTGGGGGGGGATGTAGGTGAGGTTGGGGGGCTCTCTAATGTGCCTGAAGCACTCAGAAGCTGGGTGTGCCTTAGCAGCATCCATGAACAGTCTCCTGCTGTCAGAACCAGTAGTGGAATCCTCTGTGTGCCCAGCAGTACAGCACAGACCTGAAGATGGCTCACCATGTGAAGCTGCTCTGTTGTGCAGCTCAGCATCAGTCAGGTATGTATGTTGTATTTTGGAGTGATTAAATTCTCTAATGTGCCTGTCACTTGTTCTGGCATATGCCATTGCCTCAGGCTGGCCAGTTTCCTCTACTGGATAGGTAAGCTCTTCTTGAGCATCCTTGATTTGTAGTTTGGTGAAGGTTAAAGACAGCTCACAAACTTCCTCTTTCCTGGGGATGCTGCAGTTTTGGGCAGAGGCAAAGTCCTTGTAGGGCAGAGACTTCAGCTCAGTGGGTTCATCACTGGGGGCCGGGTCTACACAATTTATGGCGTCATTAATTTCTGCTTCAATTGATTCTTCCGGGACTTCTGGAGCTTCAAACTCCAAGGTGGTTTTGCTGTCACAGGAGCTGTCAGCAAACATGGCAAAGGCTGGGGGGCCGCTGGCTCCTGGGGACAGAGGTGCAGGCCTGAGAGCTCGTGCAGCTGACTCTGCAGCCACTGCCAAGGCACACTCCTCACTCAGACTGGCTCTTGGCTCCTTTTCCAAAGCCTTTGGAGAGAGATTCTCACTGAAGATGGGTGTTTGTGCTATGACAATGTCACTGTATTTGATCAGGAAGTCCTCGCTGTCTGAGCACTTGCCCGGGAGATATGCCGTGGTACCACCTTGCTTTTGGTGCTCCTGGAGGCTGCTGGGGGATGCAGCTGCTGACTGAGCCACGTCCCCTTTGATCCTCGGATTCCCAGAAGCTTCAAAGGGTACAGCACAGGTAGCTGAACATTTCTGCTGGGGAGCAAGGCACAAAGATGTCTTACTGTTCCCTTCATTTTCCAGACTTCCAGTGTCTCCTCTCTGGGGTGTCTGATCTTCCTCATCCTTCTCTCCTTGATGCTGATGTGTTTGTGCTCCCTGCTGCAGACTCTTCTCCAAATTGTCATGTTTTTCTTCATTTGTCATTTCGAGGATGGCTTCACACTCGATTCTTGCCAGGAATATTTCAAATGCAGTCTGCTTTGTTTCCTCATYGTCTCTCTTTTTGACAAGTGAAAACTCTGTCGCTGTAGTTGCAACGTAACCAATTTTCTCCAGGACTGCTTTCAGAATGTCCTCGGGGAGCACTGGCTGGATATAGTAGACAAAATTCCCGGTGAAAGTCTGAAACAGAATGCAACATGGAAAAACTGCTGAACACTGTGGGAGTGGGGTGCAGCGAAGTGTGAAAAGAGCTGATTTCCTAAAGACGAAAAATTCTTCAAAACTTGCTTACAGCTTTCAAAAAACTGCATTCCTAGAAGTCTGAATTTTGAATTGCAGTGAGTGAGGCTTTTCTAACAGCACTATTTTGGCAGCCTGTCAAGCATTATAGCTTTGCTACAGCACATCAGTTTCTGTGAAGTGATGCCAGTTTAAACCTGCTGGGCTCTTGGCTAAGAGTACCAGTATTCAGAAAGGAAGAGAGTAAGGAAATCATTTGAGTCAAACTAGAGAAACTCAGAAATAAACTTTATGTGTTCTACTGAATGTAAGCTTTTTAAACAAACAAAGGCTSATACACTGAATCGATGAGGTCTTTTTCTAAAGAAACAGACATGATGCACTCACTGTTAATCACATTTCTGAACTGGTGACAAGCCTGTAACATTTTGTTTTCCATGGTTCAGACTCCTGCTGTGAACTTCACTACCCTTGAATTAAACTGCYATTTTTTGAAAGCACCTTTCAGGAGAGAAAGAAATGTTGCCCAAAAACCTCTCTTTGCAGAAGCTGTCTGCAAAACACAACTAAAGGGCAGCTGCTGTGCGACAACTTAAAAATGGGTCAACATTTGCTTGGTTTTAGAGCTACCCCAGGCACAAGACCTAGAGTGTAAAGTGGAAATGGTTTTTGGTTTTGTCCGAAACCATGTGATAGGAGAGACTGTGTTAATCTAAGCATGACCAACTCCTGGCAAGTCAGGACAGAACAGAGGTGGGAATGCAGAGTCAAGACTTGCAGAAGGTRGGTACTTTGTTTTCAGGATGCCCAGCTTGGGACAGACCAAGGCTGACCCCTGAGCATTACTGTTACAAGCAGGTGGTTCAGGAGAACAAAACTGACCCCCAAAACGGCCACAGTATAGAGCAGGACTGAGCCTCAGTCCATTCTCAGATCAATTTGTCAACAGGGCTTTGCACTCCCCACCTTCTATTCCTTCTAGAGGGGGAGCAGCTGCAGTCATGGCAGGGACATCAGAGCAGGTGAGAGGCAGGAATTGGGAGATACTTTTTAACTTTTTATCAAACCTGTATGTGCTAAGGTACTGGTTGTTCACCAACTTGCAAGAGAAGTTCAAGCCTGCAGCAGGCTGTTTTGCCCTTTYGGTCACCCACAGTGGTCTTCAAAATTTAATTTTAATGCAACCTAGGATTCTCATGTCAGGAAAAGCTGAACCCACTGAGTGTAGACCTGACTGTCTAATGCYTTGCCCTGTTTTAGGGAGATGAATGAGAAGAACAGGAATCTGCAGCTGTTTGGGAATCTACAGATGATACCTAAGTGCAGGAAGAAGCAGAGAAATGGCTCTTCCTCACCAGCACCTGTTGCCCAAGCAAGAGAAACAAGTTTGCCCTTGGGTATTCTGGGGATTCTGTTTAAATTCAGCATGTGTGAAGATGGCTGTGTCTTCTGGGCAATGAGACATGCTCAGTGTGCTGGGGAAGTGAGGTAAGCGTGACCACCTTGCTGCAAAAAGCAACAGCATTTCCTCTTTCCAAGGGACTTTCCCTGCCTACTCCACCAGCTGCAGGCTCTGAGGTGGGATGTGGGGCCAGAGAGACACTGGCCCACCTGGCTTTTGGCACAAAGCCCCTGGAGATGGCCACTKCTGAMAACATCCCTGCTTATAGGAAGATTYTGATTAAAGCTCAGTGCAATGAGAGGCAAAGCCCTTCAATGTAGCTTTTACTTTCTCTACTGTCTCACCACAACCGAGGGGCTCTGTTTCCAATTCCCAGAGCTGCTCTGCACTCCTGGTCTCAGCGAGGACAAGGCCTGTGAAGGCCAGTGAACACCTCTGAGCGGCCCTGCACCGCGCTGGACACCCTGCCCC